GCCAGGGTGAAGCCAACACAGTAGTTGTCGGTGTTAAGGGCCCCTCTCCCTCCCTCCCTTCCTCCCTCCCTTCTCCAGATTATCCATTAACCAGCATCATGGTTACATCACCGCGGCTAAAGCTGCCTTTCCATGGCCTAAAGACACTATAGAAACAGATTACTCATATGTCCTCACACCACATACGTTTGGCTTTTCTCCAGTCTCTCATCCCAATCATCTGCTTTATCAGCATCAGCTCATGTACAGTGTTGGCGACGCGTTTGTTTGTTCAGTCATTAACTGTTGGTCAGTCTATCCTCGGCGTGGTTGTGTCATTAGCCCGGGTCAGAGAGTTTAGCGTGAGCCACCGACAGCTCACGCAGTGTGATGGTCTGAAGACCTTTTGATGGGTTCATTATAATCAGAGCTGTAGTGTGTCTGGGCCCAGATGGCAGCAGTGTTTACACTAACGAGATTAGGATTAGCTCCAGATTAGATTATTACCCTCCTGAATTTATCTCAGATACTACTAACCTACAGAGATGGCTGTGTGAGCTCAGGAGGGTCACGGAAGTTCTTGTGGAAAGGAGCAGCTTCAAAAAAATATAAAATAAAATAAACATTAAAAAAAACCCTTTGTGCTGTACAACACAGGAACTTGTGCCGCCCTTTGTGTTTATTTTGGTTTTTCAGGCAGACCAATTTGTTGGACTGGCTGCGGTTTAAAAGAAAAACACTGGTTTGACACCAGTCAGCTGGGGCCAGATGTATCCAAAGACAGGAACATATACAGCCTGTTCCGACTGAATCATCGCTGTTACGTAACACTGGCCTTAGGATGGGGAGGGCGAGCAACACACAGAGGGAGAGAAACCAAGCTCAGAAGACTGACCTAGATCAGCAAATGGTTGGAGATAAGTACCTGAGGGGAGGGCAGGAGCCAGCAGACTGAGGAGCAAGAGGGGGGCAGACAGGAGAAGAGGGGCTATAAGAGGGAGAAGGACGGGGGAAACAAGAGGGAAGACTGAGCAACCGGACGGCAGGGGGTGAAAGGAGGCGCCTTCTTGCATGCCAGCATATTCATGGGCTTTTTCAGTGGGTTCACAGCCTCATTAGGATCAGATGTAGAGTAGCCGCCTGGTTGTGTCACTGGAACTCTGAGTTCTAGTGACACAACCGGGGTGGAATGTGGGTCAGTAGGCAGAAAGACCGAGAACTGCGATCGTGGGGAAAGTTTTTCCTGCGAAGCGTTCGTATGTGCGGCAGGAGCCCTGCCAAACAAGCTTCTGCGTCTCTTCCCGCTTGTGTTTTCCACATCTCCCTTGACCGTCAGCCACTCGAAAATAGAATAAGGGGAAGGGTGTGTGTAGAGGGAGTTGAGTAACAGAGGGATGACAGCGATTCCACTTCTCCTCTCCCCCAGCTGATTTCCTCCGAGCATGTAACAGCCCGAAAGCACGACCTGAGCCGAGTCCCTGCCTCCTAATGGGAGATTATTTAATTCCGCTGCTGCTCATTCTCACACAGGAGATCATGAGGTTATCCTAAGATAAGCCTGTTTTTCTTCCGCCTATATTATATGGCCCATATTCTCCCACATGTAGGTCACAGATAAGCAGCCAGTCCTCCCATGCTCTTAGAATCACAAACCAGTGCGGGGTGTTAATGGTCCGTTTCCTCCTCTGCCCCACTGTGTAAACAGGCAATGTATACACGCCATACAAACCAGGCCAGTCAGAACACAACCAGTTAACATGGTGGAAATATTGCTCAATGCCTCTGTGTGTCTGTGTTTTTTTTTTTTTTTTTTCTTCTTCTATTTGAAAGTGCAGAGGTAGGAGATTCACCACAGCTAGGGGATGTTAACCGTTGCGAAAGCTGATCCCCTCACTTTCCAAGAACACAGATGCACTGTCTGAGTTGCTCAATTAAGACAAGGTTGTGAATTACAGTCGCAAACTGCAGATTCAATCTCCATGGCGGCTTATCAGCAAGAAATACCAGCTCAGCGAGTATGACTGGTTGTGTTTCTGCTCTGGGAAACTTGCCAAAGATAAGCGGTGCTCATCTGCTTTTGCAGTTTTCTGATAGTTTTACAGGTTGAGTCATTTGTTCGGAGGTGATGTAGTGCATGAACGCAATGACAAAAGCCTCGTTCTTTGATCACTGGGCATATAACCAGGCTGAAGTCTATTGTTAACCATGTGTGATAAAGTGAACTAGGGAGAGTATACACCCCCACACATGTGTGTTAATTTGTCATTTGTAAAGGTTGCTTCAGACATGAACTTTGCTCTCTTATCTAACCCTTATGCACGGCTCTGATCTGCTCTGTTAAACACAAATTGAATCCATCATGCAATTAGCCTGTTACTCATATTTGCCACTGTTTAATGAAAGGATTTCCCACTTGGCAGTGCGTGTTAATGCTGCGTGCTCTGTTGCATCAAAGCTAGCTTTTAGGTCTTATTCCAACAGGTAGGTGTTGTGCAAGATACATCCCCTAGTATCACAGCAAATATATATGAACTTGAAAAGGCTAAAAAAGAAGGGCACGAGTGTGTGTTCAGAGGATTATAAATCAGACAGAGGCGGCTCACCAGCCAGCCAGATCATCAATTCTCCACAGTCCCACCCTGATCATACACATTTACACACTTGTGTCTGACCACCACTAAAGCTGTCACATGCTGTCTTGTTCCCTGAGAAATGTGAAGACACACGTGTGAAAAATTTCCTGCTAATACACGTCAGATATTTAGCTCAGAGGACGGCTCTAGCGGAAGAATAAGCGAAGCCCGCTGATGTTGAGAAAAGGCTCGAGAAGGAAGACATCCTCAGCGTGCACGTGTGTGAAAGTGATCACAAAGGCGGTTCAGGAGTTGCTCAGCGTGGGCGCTTCGTGAATTTAAGAGCAGAAAATCAGGTCCGGCAGGTTAACCGTCAGAGCATCTCACGGGACAAAGAGTTCCTCTTACCTCATTGTTTCCTTCAGGGGAAAAAAAAAAAAACCAACAGTTTTTTGGAACATAGGAGCGCCATAACCCCTGAGTATGAATAGTCAACTTTAGCACACGTTCTGACACAAAGGTAGCACAGTTTACCTTAAAGCAACTCACTGGGTGAACTCAGATCTACGATACGTTGGACCATTTCAACACAAGCCTGATTGCTTTAGCTTCAAATAAACCAAACAACATCAATATATGATCTTTCCAGAAATAAAAAAGACCAGCAATAATTTCACTTGAATCCACAACATTGTGCTTTAAATACTTTGCTGTGTTGCCACTTGAGTGCAACTTGTAGTACGTCTGTTGGAGAAGCTATTTGAATTTGAATCATGAAGTTAAAAATTTATTTCCTTCCTTTCTTTTCGTATCATTTCCAATGAATTTTCTGGTCATGAGATAACAGGATGCTTCTAGGTGGACCATGACCTGATATCTGATTTTTTCTTTCACTTCCTGATGCAATATAAAGCACGAACAGCTGCAGCAGCTGATGACAATCTTGAGGAGCATCTGAGTGCACCGTGACTTGTCTTCATCACTATGTTCACTCAGGTTTGTGTTACTTGATACACTTTTTGTGTCTGTGTGTGTTTTGGCTTGTTTTCAGTTAACCAAGGAAGTACAAGAAGAAGAATGCACCGAGTTCTGTCTTCGGAAGCACGACAGGTTTGTTAAGAAAGTGAGTATGGTCGCATTGTTTTTCTCCCAGATGAGTCTTTGGAGACCAAATGTTGATGGGGTAAAGGGGGAAACATGTTCAGCTGTGCCAGAAAACGATGCCCTCGGGGCCAAAAATAGGGCCCAGGGAGTGAAAGCAGGCAGGTGAAACAGCAACCAGGTCCGGCCATAACAAAGGCCAGCGAGGTGTGAGACGGTTGGAGTTCAGGGTGTGTCTGGCTCGTCTGTCAGGCTCTACTTGAACCAAATGGCTGCTTTGAGTTTATTAAACAAATGTGAGCTCAAACCTGAGTCATCCAGACCTGCAGGGACTCGTCGTCGAGGTCATCAACGGAGCAGAAACCCACATGTGGCCCATGTTACCTCATATTTGGCGTTTATCGTGAGTCGACTTTATACTGAATTAATTCTATGTTGAAATTAATAATTCAGCTTCAAGGGAGTGAATGGAAACATGTGGTTCTGCTCAAAGTGGACTCACCCAATGACGGCCTGATGGAGTCAAAAACATCTACAAAAATAGCATGTAGGGATCTAACTGTCCTGCAGCACCCACCAATTCCACCAACAGACGCTAGTTAAAGGCACAGATTTCTACTTTTTCTATTTCCACTCTATTTTACAGCCACTTCCATGAAGCAGTGACACTCTCCCACAGAATACCTGCATGAAATCGCCACGCAGGATCCCGGCAGCAGTTCACACAACCCCTGTCTCCAAACCCAGGGGACTGTTCTAAAGATACCGATTGTATTTTTGTGTGTGTGTGTGACCTAATTCAGAGCACATCAGGTGCCCAGCATGCAGCAGCCACTGCAGAGGGGAGGATCTGCAACGAAATCACACAGACTCTCTTCAAGGACGACTCTCAAGGACAAGTTGAGTCTAACCTTCTGAGGACGAGCCGCCGCTGCACAAGGAGTGCACATTTATCAGCAAGATGCCGGAAATCATAAGTTTGCACATTTTTGAGATCTGCCCTCATTTACAGCTGATATGGGTGTAATAGTAGGTCACGTTTCTGGAGAGGCAGTGCCACATCAGCGTGTGGTGGATCTAAGCCAGGATATCAGAGCGAGGCATGAAAAATTAGTGTCATCTCTCACTTCTCTGCTCTTACTTCAAACATTTAGATCAAGGCTTCACAATATTGTGAGTTTAGGGTGAGCGAGGTAGCCATGGAAACTAATAGAAGCTGAGATTAAATCCAATTTGACAGCAAGGTCAAATTGTTGAGTTTATATGTGAATACAGTAACTTGTGCCTATCCACATAACACTGAGAAACATTTAATTACAATTTAAAAAGAAAACAGAAGACTTCAGGTTTTTTTATGCAAATATGGTATAAAAATTTAATGATGCTATTGATGTTAGCATGCTCTAAAAATCAAACAAAAATCAGAAGAAGCATTGAAATCACAAAGTGACGTGTGAATATAAAGTACAGCAGTGCCACTTTTTCCATTTTTTTTTCCTATTTTCTTAACAAAATAGAAGCATCTTAGTGCCTGATGGCACATCAAACAGAGGAGCAAAACCCGAGTGACAACTCTCAGCTCGGTCTCCTTCACCAGGAGCAATAAGCTATTATTTACAGAACAATTTGTACATCAAATAATCAGTCGGAAAATAAACCAAACAAACCAGGAGCAGGCTCATTCACTCTTATGTACACAGAAAGGCATTCACACATTACTCCATGTGCAATGATGAAACGAAAACATCACCAAATCTCCACACACACTCTGAAGGCTACAATGTTCACTATCACACTGGTAAACTATTGGAAAGTGATTTCACATCACCGCATACCAGAAAATATCTTGGTCATAGCTATTAAAATCAATCCAATTACCCGCTGTTCATAACTAAAACACAGTGCAAAAAAAAAAAGTAAAAATAAAAAACAAAACGCTGCTCCTCCCCATAACAGGTTTACAGGCCAGCACAGTCAATTCACAGGAAGCCCACAGCCATATATGCATGCATTCCCAACAAAATTCACAGCTATGTACATGAGGCATGTTGCTCTATAAAAGGGTAGCTTTTCAAAAGTGACAACTTGTGAGTCCTTGACTGTGAGTGAGGCAGTTTATTTCAGAAGCACACTTGTTTGAGAGTCTCAAGAGCGCTTGAGTTCAGATAATCTGCGGAGAAGCTGCTGCTGTTTGGATCGGAGTCGCTTCTTCTCCTGGAGCTGCCGCTTCTCCCTGGTGTGCAGCTCCATCAGGTACTCCGTCGCCTGGGTCAGGATGGCCACTTTCGGGGTCTTGGCCGACTCCAGGCCGGGGATCTGATCCCGCAGGGCGAGGAAACGAGACCTGAGGTCGTTTCTCCTCTTCCTCTCGAGGAAGTTGTGGTTTCGCCTGCGATCAGTGTCCTCTGTGTCTGAGTTTAGGGGAGTCTCTGAGGGGGACGTTGGCTGGGAGCTACTAGAACCTGACTGCTGACTGGACGACGAGCAGGTCCGCTTGCTCTGAGGCGCCTCTTCATATTCGTCGTCCTCCTCTTCTTCTTCTTCCTCAGGTTCCGGCTCGCTGTCAGGGGAGCGGGCGGCGTAGTTGTGCTGCTGCCGGTGCACTGACATGTGGAAGCGTTTGGGGCAGGGGTCTGCACGGACCGTGATGGTCACCGGCTTTCTGACGTTCACCAGTCGCACCCGGTTCTGTTTGCTCTCCACAGTGACCACATCGATTTCCTCTTCATCATCTGTCATCAAACAGGAGAACAACTCATCAATGCACATTGAACAACAATCACATGCAGAAGATACTGCAAAGTCATCTGTTTTACAAAATGCTCCACAGGGTCAAGCTGGATCCAAATATAACCTAACTGGCTACAAAGAAGTGCATTCCTTAACCAAGCAAGCAGATCACCATTCCTCAGTGTGAGGAGGGCAGAGCAGGAGGTGAGGTGTTAACAGCAGAGGTCAATCAGGCAAAGGTTTGCAGAGTTTAAGGCTTTTGTCACTGGAGCATTCATCAACCATTTAAATAGGGAGATCTGCTGGCAGGGGGCATTCCCTAATTTGGGAAATGTGAAAGAGTTACTCTCACGGTCTGTCACTGTGTGTGTGTAGCAGCCATAAATCATCAGGACTGGCTCACCCCGCCCTCTACCGCACTCTGATTGTGATGCAGAGGCAGCGGAAGATAAAGAAATAGAGGAGGATGCAAGTAAAAGTGATAGGGGCGCGGTTTTTAAAACACTGCATGGGTATTCAGAGCGAGCATGTGGCGCATTGTCCAAGCAAGAGTAAAAAAAAAAATCCAGCCTTAAGGTGACTGCACTGCACTTAATAACCCCTCTGCAACACAGACCACAGTTATGCAACTGAAGCCCGGCTTTCCAAATTACGCATTGTTAGTGGGCAATATAATCCCGAGGCAGGGCAGGGTGGGGCAATTTAGAGCATGACTGCTTCCTTACCAGAGGAATCAGAGCGAGACTCGGAGCCAGACGACGCCGGCTTCCTGCAGCTGCTTGCCGGGTAGGTGAGAACTGCGGCGGGGTCGACGCAGTCTGTCGCCGCCGCGGCGGCTGCGTGCAGGCCACCGGGCGAGACGCACTGCGCTTTGCTCGGTCTCACGGAGATCTGTGCCACCGGGGGGGCAGCGGTCGGCGCCGCGGCAGGCACTCTGGCGTTGACCTTCTCCAGCTGCTTGCTGGCAGAGAAACTACTCCACATGCAGTCCCGGATGATGTGGGAGCTGAGGTTGCCGAACAACCGCTGCGTGTCGGGGATGAACTGACCCTCGCACTCCTCGTCCTGACCCAGCACTTTGGACAGCCAGCTGAGCTTGTCTCCGGGCGTGAGGAGGTGCAGAGCAGCATCGCTCAGAGTCCGGGTGGGAGACATGGGAGGGGTGGGCAGCAGCTCGAACTTTTTCCATATGTCCTCGCTCGGTGCGGTTGACTTGTAAAAATCCTCCTCGGTGTCGAAATCGTGGAAGAAATAGTGCTGGTAACAGTCGAACTCCATGTTTCCAGATAATATAATCCTCTAGAGTTTATTCCCAGAAATGATCTAATGACACCAGTGGCCTCTGAAGAACGTCCTGCACAGGAGAGGAAATATTAGAGATCAGCAAGTAGTTTCCATCAGATGTATGATCACATATCAAGTATCCACCTAATGGGATCAGGACATCACATTCCCCTAACAGCCTACTTTCTACAAATGGGACCACATTAATAATTGATTGAATCTTGCGGATGCTCTCTTTGCTCTGATGGTCTCAAGCTGTTCTGTTCAGGCGCACACGGTTATTACATAATCCGCCTCTATATATACGCGTAAATTATAACTCTCGGTGGTGCGTGCGTAAAAGTAACACACTGGGCTGCATTTCCTGAAATGTAGGGAGCGCTTTGTTCCACAAAGCAGCGAAGCGGTACACAGTCACAGAGTGGGTTAAATATCGCACACAAAGCACCATTTCCTCATTGGAAACTTTCACACGCAGGCAACTCGAATCAAACTACTCACCGGGTCGCCGCAAAATCCTCAAAGCGCAAAATCAGGGCATTGAAAATCCCTCGGCGGTCCAAAGAGCGCACAGTCCGCAGGAAAGAGACGGATAAAAGAAAACTGTCCGAGTTGTTCCAGGGGGTACAAATATAGACGGAGCCTGTACTTATGTTGCAGTTTAGTTCAAAACAACGAGGTTCGGAAAAAAAAAAAAAACACGCCGGGGTTTAAATAAGCGGCGCTGGATCCGCCCCGCAATGTGTAACAGAAAGCCACACTGTGCGTTTTTCGCGCCAGTGAGATATCCTGTTATAAGGCGATAAAAAGTGCAGGGAGGAGCCTCGGAAATGTCTGCAGCGGTAGATCCGGGTAAGCCCCTTCATTTGCATCAGAGGCGGGAGGGGGAGGCGCGCAGCCCCGCCCCGGCTACAGCAGCAGCCGTGGACACAAGGACCGACACTTACTTTATTATTATCAGGGGTGTTCAAATTGTAGCAGAAAACCACAAAAACAATGTGTTTTTCTCAGCAAAGTATACTATTTGCCACTTTTGCGCCTATTTGTATGATTCTTATCACTGAGTTCTTCTTAATAAATCCACTTCTCTGCATTTAGTGGGAGATTTATATTCTGCCTACAACTTTATTAGCATTATACTGTTTTTTTTTTTTTTAAATTTACACACAGTAATCCACCTGAAGAATCAATGCAGCATCCCAACAATAAATTAAACAGTTAAATCACTTCTATCTTGAATTACACAAGTGTACTAGGAATAATAATACAATATGTAGAGCAGACAGTGAATAATGAGGGATACTGAATTTGATCATAAAAGCTTCAAGCAACAGTTCACAATGTTTCCTTCTCTTTGTTGTATGTGTTGAGTCATTTTGGATTTTTAGAGGACAAAACAACATATTTAAAGACATCACCAGGAATCTTTATGAACTACTTTATGATATTCAATGGATCAAACACTGACAACATGATTGTATTTCACTGATTAATCAATATTTAACATAACCGTTAACTGCACCCCTCATCATTTATACCCAGAGGGGCCATTTTTCCCGCATAGTGAAAAAAAAAAAGTTGAATTTGCTGATAATGTTTGAGTACATTTACAACAGGTGGAGTTTTAAAAATGTCCCATTTTTGTTTCACTGCTTCTACTCAAGGATCCGTCTCCCACCGCTTCACCCCAACACATGATACTTCTCATAAAGTGAACATTTGGCAACGACAGCGTGACACGTGTGAGAGAGTGGGCCCAGTGGTCACACATTTGACTCAGAGGTCGCGTCCAGTTTGCTGTCTTTACTGTTCAGTCTCACAAAACTGTGATCCTGTGATGTAACGCTGACACGAGCCAACCTCGACACCAAACATTACATTTAAGCTTAACCCAGTTTCTCCTAATCTTGTTAAAATCAGCAGAACTAAGAGTTTCTCTGTCTTGAAAAAGGCCTCTTTGCCTGGACACAGTCTGTTTTTTTGTACTTTTACTTATAACCAGTTGTAGAAAGTTCCTTTTAAATCAGGTATCATATGAGCTGAGTGGCTTTGGAGCAGTTTCAGGAGTAGCTGGACTCTTCATTTGTGTTACAAAGGGGGACAAATCAGTGGTGATGGTTCTTCATCTCCATACTGAACGTCTTAACGCAGAGCTGCTAATAGGTGTATTGTATTCCAAGCAAAGAGACATTTTCACATCTTCTGGGCGGAGTGCACATCTCTGAACGGCCGGCACTTTAACACAAAAGAGCATGACGAGCTCACGGTCAAGATTCAGCGTCTCCAGGTGGCGCTGAGTTGAGTGATCTGCTTTACAGGGAGAACGAGCTCCTTCAGCAGCAAACATGTTAAGGTCCTGAGCAAACACCTCCTTTTTTTTTTGTTCTTTGTTTACAAGTGGGCTGCGACAGCTTCACCAAACTAAGAGTTCAGCTCAGTTAAACATATTTGCCCCCAGTGGCCCGCGACATTTAATTACGTTGCCACAAAGCTCGATATAATCATGTTGAACCAGGTGATGATTAAGTAGAGACACGGTTTATCTTGTGTGGCGTGAATGAACGCGTTACGCTCACTGGCGAGCGAAAGGTCAAAGTTCTCCAACGTCTTGTGAGCAGACAACGGCGGGTCAAAATCATACACCACCCCGGTCTTTCACCTCCTCCTAACATATTGATCCGTTTGGTCCACAGCGTGCACGTCTTCTTCCTAAGCGTGTCAGCGGTCTGGACAAACCCCAGCTATAAACGCTGATTGGTGACATCTGTCGCCGGCGACCGGCCTGAGGTCGGACACACGAGAGGCCTCCTCAGGTCGGCCGCGGTGCTCTAAAGGCAGCGTCGCTCCGTTTCAGTATTGTAAATGATGACTCACGTTGACATCAAACAGGACTTCTCACTCAACTTTGGCTTTGATGATTACATTTGGACTTTGGATTTGAATGACTTGCTGAAATCCTGCCCAGGGCCAACTGACAACAGATTTTTTTTTTTTTTCAAAAGGCGCATAAGGGAACCAACTGTCAGCTTTCTTCACAACAGATATGTTTGAAATCAGTTCCAGCAGCTGACAAAAAAAAAAGAAGTCCGTCTCGGGACTTCCGGACTGACCAAACAGTCTGACCACCACATGGTCCGCTCAGTAATTGTTCTGTAAAGTTTGATTGCATCACAAGACCTCAGCAGAGAGAGCTTGACTGGTTGACAGAGAAATGTGGATGATTGTCGGTGCACTTTAAAGACTTACAGAAAGACTTTAGATCAGAAGTTAATTGTGGATATAAAGAAAAACAGTATTTAACCAATAAAAAGTCGGTGCTGGAGGTTTAGATTGTATTGTTGGATTTTCATCAGCAGATGGAGTTGTTACTATAAAGTTTGGACTGAGGATTTCACTGCAGCAGCTACGATTCACACTGATAAAAGTGCATTTTAATATAAAAACACTGTTGTAGTGTTTCCAAATGACTCTGATTATCTATAATTAAACCTAACTTATATAAACTAAGGCTATTTGTGTTGTTCAGATGTGCTCTTGTAATGTTTAAATGTTGCCTTCTTGTCCAAAAAAAAGAGATTTTAGTCTCTGTAGGACTTTTTACTTGCTTGAATAAAGGAAAAATGAGAACAATCATGACTGGAAAGACCTTGTGATACTCGTTTAAAGCGAAAGATAAGTTGAACAGTTATAAAAAAGAAGCTTTCACCAGTGTGATTTTGGAGATCTTGTGCCCACAGAGCAAAGATCACAGTCTTTAGATCCTGCAGCTTCACATCCTATAATTACCCAGCAGACCAACCCTCAGTCTGCTATGTTCGGAATATTTCATCCCTGCCAAAGAGACGAGAGAGAGGGGAGAAAAAAATGCTGGTTTTTTAAAATTCAGACAAGAGCCTGCACTCCTTCCATGTCCCTTCATTAGAGCTGGGAGATATTTTCCTCAGCAGCGAGAAGAGGTAACAATGCTTAACACCAACAATAGGCTGCTCCCCAAGTCATTTCCCAGCTTAACTTCAAGTGCCCTCCATTGTGTTTTATTGTTATAGTAGCATATGTGTGAGGGTAGTAAAAAAAAAAGGTCGGGGGTGTGGGGGGTGGGGGGGTTCAGGATCCACCTCAGCAGAGTCCTCATGTAGTCTGTAACACCCACTCAGCCGCCTGAAGAACATCCAGCACAATGCAGTGCAGGAATTTGGATGGTTTTTCGTGGGCCGACTGTGGAATTGTCCCCATGCGCCACACAAGGGGGTGTCCTCCTTTTTCCCCACGACCTCCATGACTCTCGGGAACCCCCGTAACCCTGACCTCTGACCCTCTCCTCCCAGCTGAAAAAAAATATACTAGCAGGTTTGAAAATGGGACCAGTCAACCGGCGCGCAGAGAAAAGCCATGCAGATGAGAAAGACAACATAAATAATTCACACAAGTGTTATTGCTCCCCTGGGATGTAAAACACCACACTCTGACACCCCAGCCATCTCCACCCTCGCAATACCAGCAGAGAGCGATCAGCAGGGCGCCGGGTCTACCTGCTAACAGCGCTCACATACCAGAGATCTCTGATCTGTCAGAGCACGCATGACATCAGGCTGCTGATGCTATCACTTGTCTTTTCATTTCCGCAGGAAAGTGCTGCACTCCTGAAAACATTATTAGATGTGATTGCAGTCTAAGTTCCTGGGCTGACCTCAGCATCTCTTTATAAATTACCATTAATAAAGGACATGCTGCTGCATTAGATATAAAACTGTGCAGCTTCATATCGCTGCAAACCGAGAACATCACGTTGAAGCACTTGATATAGGTGAAAACAAGTGCTTCTGTATCTAAGTGTGATAATGTCAGATATTTATCCCTGGATATGCTCCCCGCTGCCTCACTGCAGCAGACATGTCAGAGTTATGCTGCCACCTGCTGTTTGCTGAGTGTAACTAATCTAAGAACTTCTCTCAGGACAAATATTACAATAGGATAGGCTTTGGGAAGAGTGTGGAAGGAAGGAAGGAAGGAGGTTTAATTAAATAAAACTACAATTAAAAAGACTGAGTTACAAGTAAACGTCTTGCATTGATAGCAGGAAATAGTACAGAAGTATTAGAAGCTATAAATACTTCAAGTATCAAAACACAAAGTGGTCAATGGCACCTCTGAGTGAAACTTTATTTTTATTATCAATATAATTTAGTATAAATATTAATGATGTCTAGCTGGTTGGAATAGAGCTAACTTCACATAATTTATATTCTACTGGTTAGTTTAATCTCAAGCTGTCTATCATTTTAATAAGATTATTTCACAGCTTAATCATTGAAGTAAACTGGACCAGTGTAATCATATTACATTTGTCTGTAATGCAGTACTGTGATGCACTGTGATTCCTGAATTCATTAATCAGTTACAGGTGCTACTTTTACATAATAATAAATAATAATAGATTTTATTTAAAAGGCGTCTTTCTGGTCGCTCAAGGACACCTTACGAAAGATAAAAGAAACAACAATAAAATACGTCAGGCAGGGAATAAGCAACATGTTCTCATTACATGACACGACTCATGACATTTTTCTCTGAGGAGCTCTTTGGGATGTTTTCTATTAACTTTGCTTCATGGCAATATTTTATTAAAGAGCATAAAAGACAGATCTTGTGTTTCCTCCTTAACAGAGTGTGGCTTTGTGCTGCTGTGTGAGCATATGTGAGGTTTAACATTATACTGGAAAGTGGGAATAAGGGGATGATGCGTCTCAGGAGGAACAC